CATAGGTCACCTTGATCACCTTTTAGTTCAGCAGCAGCTCATCAGTGCTTTACAATTTTAACTCTTCAGTATCTCTAGAATTGCCATTTCTCCTCAGGCCCACTGCCATGGCCTTTGTTTCTACACTTAATATATCTTTAGTCCACCTCGTTAGTATCTCTGCCTCCAATCTTTCATTAAGTGCCAGCAGAATTCTCTCTGCAATATGAATGCAACCTTGACGTTCTCCTACTTACATTTTTAGAATAGTTACCCACCACCAAAAGAGTCAAATCTTGATACCTCAGTTTGATCTGGCTCCATTTTTTTTCTTTCATCCATAGCCTCTGCTCAGTCCTGTTAAATGGCTTTGTAACCACTGGTTGGTGGACGTTTCTCTATCTTTTCATAAAGTTCTCCACTTTAAAATTGTCCATTTTCCATACTGGGCCTACACTCAAAAGGTGGGTAGCAGGTGATTAAGCCCCATGTCTTGCAAGGCATGGTATCTACAGATATTATCTGATATTCTGTAAGAGAATGTGCTTCCCATTTATTTGTCTCTGTATTATTTATTTATTCAACCACTAAATCAATATGAACTGCTATCAAAGATACATACATTGTTCCCTCTCTCTGGATAATTCCTACTGCTTCTATAGGATTCTGCTCAAATATTTCACTTTCTCTGAAACCCTTTGCCTAATATCTAGACTTATTATTTCTTACCACTATGCATAAACATAACCCTATTTGCATTTTACATGCATTTTAAATATTTCTCTGTGTATGTGTGTCTGTATGTGTATATACTATATATATGTGTGTATCTCTATTTCCAATCATACTATGTAATTCTCAAGGGTAAATATTATGTTTTCTTTGCCTTAGCATCACTCAAATATGGTGATGCGGCTCGATGCCTATAGCTCAACCGGCTAAGGCTCCAGCCACATACACCTAAGGTGGTGGGTTCGAATCCCCAGCCCGGACCCGCCAAAACAACAATGACGGCTGCAACCAAAAAATAGCCAGGCGTTGTGGCGGGCGCCTGTGGTCCCACCTACTTGGGAGGCAGAGGCAGGAGACTCGAGCCCAGGAGTTGGAGGTTGCTGTGAGCTGTAATGCCACGGCACTCTACCCAGGGGACAGCTTGAGGCTCTGTCTCCAAAAAAAAAAAATATATATATATATGGTGATGCTCTAGTTGGGCTTATTGTAGAGGTTATGAAAGTGTTTATTGATTAAAAGATGGTCTATTTCTAGCACTCTTATTAGCCATTAAATTAGTTCTACTCTGATTGTATGAGTTTGTATGTGCCTGTGTGTGTTTTCTTTTGTTAAAAATTTGATTATAGACTTAGTCAATTAAATGATTTAAGAAGAAGTGGGAAAAACTTGACAAGTGTAACTACACAAAACTATTGTGTAAAATTAAATGATTACAATTATAAAATAACTTCTGGATGCAAATTAAATTGGTTGAAAATATTAAATAATTTTAATATTGCAGAGCCAATGTTCTAGTTTTAACTATTTTTTTTTAATTTAATATAGATTGTCCAAGATCCCTTCTCACCACACACAAAAAGTAACTTAGCAAGGAGATGGATATGTTAATTACCCTGCTTGAATCTTCCTATAGTTTTTACAGAGCATAGATCAAAACATCACAGTTTATGCCATAAATATACACAGTTATTATCACTTGAAAATAAAAAAAACTTCAAAACTGTATTTTCACTCACAACACCATTATGATCCAACTATAAATATTAAATATGTAGCATAGGCCCACGCTTCTTCTATTTGAAGTGATTTTCATTTTTCTCATACATTAAAGTTATATAATTTAGGATTAATATAAAATTTAAGTTATCCAAATAGTGTGTTTGGAAATTCCAGTTTTACACTTAATTCTAAACTATGTAACTTTACCATAAATATTATTAGTTTATTTTTAACCATAATTTTAAAATATGACCAATTATTTTGAAATTTAAATTATAAGAAATATTTATAAAATATGAGAGACACAAATGATTACGACCTAGTATAAAATATTGTGTATTGGGTATTAAGACAGTAAGGAAAACACAAAAATGGAAGAAAAATGGACAAGGTGGTGTGAAGGGGCATATACACATAGACACACACACACACACAAGTTACAAATGCCTAATAAATAGAAAACATTTCACAATTGAAGCTCAAGAAGGTGCAATTTAAATGTTTTGGCATTTCTGGACCATCACATAATGATGCATTGAAAGTAATGTGATCAGAAATAATAACAAGCATTTAATTTGGACTCTCCACATGACCAAATCTGCATTTCCTGTCTCCTTATGCAAATAGGTTTATTGTGACCTCTAATGTCAAATGATTTCTGTTGAAAATCATTTTAAATAACCATTTCCAAGGAAAAGCATAGAAAAAAATGAAAATTAAGTAGAAAGTATTTTGTGAGCCATGTAATACATTGAACGTAATAAAGTTAAAAAGGTTGAGATAAAACACAAATATACCCAAAAGTGTAAGGTTGAATCAGGAGATAAGGCTGCATTATATGTATAAGTTTTTTTTTTTTTT